AGCATTTGAAAATCAACTAGGATCAAATATGTCACATAGTGGAGCACGTCATTTTTCTTCTAGCTGGTTTCTCCTCAGAAGCTATTATGAAACATGTGGTACCGTCTATTCGTTGTCCTTGAGCGACATATCACTATACAGGCCTGCTGACGAGTAAGAATACTAACTACTACTACCTTACTAGTGCTTGCTCAATTCACACCGTCAGTTCACCGATTCTTTGGTGACAGATGACAAGTACTAATCCTATTTAAGCACATTTACATACGAGCACGCAAAGGACAAAAGGATAAAGCGTTTGACATTAATAAATGCCTTAGGAATACGTTATTTATTCGGTTCTCCTAAGTACGGTATAGATGATAGAATGCACGTTTGGACTATACAGTGGTGACTTGGGGTGGCCTTCCAATGTATCAAGTCAATGTTGCGATCCTCGCAGACAGGAGTAGTACAAATTCCCCGATTTCAAAAGAACGGGTTAGTTTCCTACGAGCTAGGGATCAAACCAGCGACATCGTGTGGTTACAAAACAACATCACCAAACATTTCACTACTTGAGCACTTTGCATACAAACATGTGACACAAAATGTTAAGAGTTCTAATGTAGCGTTGTAGTACTCCTAATTAAGAGCTAAACAAACAATAGTAATCGCTAGAAAATCAAATTAGTCCGGCGTAAAATCGCAAGAGTGGCGTGACGACAGACGTGTTTGTCGCGAATGAACTGCAAATCGAAACCACGTGCGAAACGCTGTTCAACCAGTTGAAAAAAAACTATAATATCGTACCTATGAAGTGAATAATAGACTAACAATATTGATTAAAACCTGAATAATAAGTAACGAACTGGTAGGGAACAAGTATTTACAGAGCGGCTGCGGAATAACTTATACTAGAATTTGGTTTATCAGCTTATGCGTCCCCGTAAAGCTTATAGAAGGTTTCTAAGACAAACCGCAGTGACGAGTCAACAATTGATTAGCGCCGGTTCTCAATCCTTTTCTTTAAACTAGGAGATGAAGTGGAGAGATAAGGCAGATGATCCGCTAATGGTAATGAAACACATTCGCGATCAGGTTTCAATGAAAAGTATCAGAACGCGTCCACAAATTGCAGAAAAGCCAAGCATGTGTGTATATACTTGTATATATATATATATATACATATATATATATATATATATATGTATATATATATAT